CATTTAATGAGAAAAAAGTACTCTATCTGGCAAGAATACCACGCTACATATCCATTCTACTTTCACTTCAAATACAAAGTTTAGAAGTGATATCAAGCATTTCAATGAAGATAAAGCTTTTAAATAAGCAGGTTTTCCAATTACCTTGTTTACCCAATCTTCCAAACCTTGAACAAGTTATGAATTCGAACAAGACTTTGTGATAAAAAGTGGAAATTCTCCATGTTTAAATTTAAATTTCAAAATAAATGAGTCTATAAGTTGACGCTTTTGAACCAATACTTTACTAAAAATAACTAGCAAGAGGATCTGAATAAGAAGCAATTTTTCTTTTAAGTATTTTTTTCCAAAAATTTTCTTTTCCTCCTTTTTTAATAATTTGATTTGACCAATCTTTATGAACAGGAGGAAGCACATAACTTTTTCTTACATGAAGACATATTTTTTATCAAAAGGAACCTTTTGAATAGAATAATTTGGAATACTATTTTTCCTCTTCCTAAAAGGAGATCAAGCAGTGCGAGAAAGTTGGCCATAATTAATTCTCACCTTGGATAGTAAAAAATACCTACGAGAAATCGATAATGACATTGAAATAAGTTTTTATTCATATTATTTCTTTAACATTATAAAAAAAAAAAAAGGAAAAAACTACACAAGAAAAAAAGATTAAGATTCTAGCAACCCAGAACTTCTTAAACAAATAATAAGCATTTGCTAAGGTGTCATTTTCCAAGAATGTGTGCGTGTAGCTAGATGCAGTGAAAGCTGGGTTTGTTTATAATAAGATCACAATTTATCGACCTTATTATAAGGTCATGAAATATCATGATATCTTATAAGAAATTGAAAAACAATAAAAATGAAAAATAGTAGAACAGGCTAACAGGTCAACTAAAAAATATAAAAATTATTTTATTTATTTTTTTCTAACAAATAAAAAAATTATAAGTTACATATTTTATACTTGTTTTCATCTATAAACAATAACATTAAAATAAAAATTCAACTATAGTTATGTCATATATTATTTTAATAAATAATATTTTTTTATTTCTTCATTATTAGCAAATAACAATACTATAATTAATAACATTTTAGTATTCATCTTAATAATTTTTTATTTTTTAATTTTAAAATATCAATTATTTTATGCCATCTTTTTTAATTTTTAATTTATTTTTTAGTTATTTTGTTATATACTTTATGATTTTATTTGTATGATTTTTCTATCTAGTCTTAAAATTTTTTTAACATAAATCATAAGAATGAAAGTTACCATTGTACATTTTATTTGTATGAATTTTTTCCTAGATACTTTAATTGCAAATGTTGGTGTCTTTTCATAAAAAATTCAACATATTTGGAACGCCACTTGATCAAGATGTAACACTTTTTTACTACTATATAAATATTTTTACTATGTAGTGAAAAAAAATTACTATCCAAATATTTATGTTAATAAATTTTTAAGACTAAAAATGGTTTAGTAATAGCTTTCAAATATATAAAAAAATCTTACTATGCCTCTCTCTTGTTTACTTTAAAAAAATTTTGATTATTTATTACCTATTTTTCTTATATATTTACAAAAAAATAATTAATTAAAATGCAATGTTACATTACTAATTTAATTATTTACATGACAAAAATAGTTTTTTACAAATGTTCTTAAGTTTTATTACATTTGTAATTATCGTAACTCTTTCTTGTTGAGTTAAGACATCTTTTGTACATTTTACATCAAATGATATGAATCTTAAGTTTTCTCTTGCATGTTTAAGTTACCAAAAAAATTTTTTTTTTATTTATTAGATATTTTTCTTATATATTTACTAGAATAACAATTAATTAAAAATTTATGTTGCCAACTTCACTATTTATGTTATAATAATATTTTTGTATGGTTATTCTTATATTCCAATAAGTTTAAAATTGTTGTAACTTTCTTTTAATAAGTTATGATACTTCTTATTCATTTTACGCCAAATGATACAAAATTTACACTTTTTTCTCACTTGTTTACATTACCTATTTGTTTTTTTAGATTTTAGTTATTTTTGTATATTTACAAAATAATAATTAACTAAAATTTTATGTTGTTTGCTTAATTATTTATGTTACAATAATATTTTCTTATGGCTATTTTTTACTTTTTATTATGTTTAGAATTGTTATAATTCTCTCTTAATGTTTGTTATGATTTTTTAATTCATTTTACATCAAATTATACGATTTTTACAACTTTTCTCACTTGTTTACGTTACCTATTTGTTTTTTAATTTTTAATTATTTTGTTTATATATTTACAAAAATAATAATTAATTAAAATTTTACATTACTTACTCAATTATTTATATTACAATAACATATTTTTACAATTGTCCTCACTTTTCATTATGTTTAAAATTTTTATAATTCTTTTATAATATGTTACTTTATAATATGTTACGATACTTTATTTTATAGTAAATAATACAAGTTTTATATTTTTCTGACTTGTTTATGGCACCTACACTACAAGAAAAATGTTTTAGTGAGGAATTTAGTGCGGACTGTACGCCGACTTTCACTAAAAATTTCATTTTAGTGAGATCCGCTGGAAACCATCAGTGAAAGTAATTTTTAGTGTAAAGTTAGCCTTTATCCCCACTAATTGTTATTTATATGTGATAGTCACTTCTAACTCTCACTAAAAGGAAATTTTTTAGAATTAATTTTGATCATTTCTAATTGATTTCACTAAATTGTTGCATTAAAGACAAATGAAAGTAGGATAATGAAACTTAATTTGAGTGACAATTGTATATAAATTTCACTAAATTTATTTATTTTATGACTATTTTATTTTGTAAAAAACTATACTAAAAAATTATTTTTTATTTTGATAAAAGTCTAGAATCAAAATAATTTTTACTAAATAGATTTTATTTGTTGTTCTTCAATTACCTTTACTTGAATACTTTTTTTAACCTATTACAAAAATAACAAACAAAAGCAATTTTACAATTAGAAAAAAATCTTGATTTAAAAAAAAAAAAACTCAAAAACAAAAAAGTATCGTATAAACATTTAATAACGGTCGTAGTTAGTATCAGGATCCTCACTGTTGATAGCCTTACCTTTTTCTTTTCTTTTTTTCCACTAAAGAAGCAAAGCCATAAAAATACCAAAAACCATTCCTTTAAAAAGCAAAAAAAAAAAAAAAATCCATAAAACAAATCATTTAAAAAAATCGAAGAACACTAGTCATTTTGCAAATTTGGTATCTCCACCCCAGAATTTTTGTCCTCTATCGCTTCCATTTGTGCCGTGGCAGAAAGTGATTGGCCAGTGCTACATGGTAGTGCTCAGCAGTTCCATCTGTATATTTTTAAACTGAAAGGCAAGCTCACAATTAGTATTCAAAAGGAAATATAGTCAAAGATATTAAACAGGCATCTCCAAAAGCTTCCGAAGTTACAATATGAATTCCGAATTGACTCAGGCGAGTTCTTCTTTTCTCTTGTTTTATCTTCCTTTAGATTTTAAATGCTGTGTTGCTATAAATGATGGCTTTATTTTGGATTTGATCTCCAATTCGCATCCGAATAGAATAGATTATTAAAGTGATGTTATCTCTTATCTAATAAATATTTAATTTTTTATAATTTTATCTTCATGTTAGATCTCTTCATTTATCGTCAATTGATTTTATTGTCAATTGATTTTAAGTTGGATGTTTGATATAATATCAGGATTTTGTTTTGTTAGTTTTTCTAAATCTGTCATGTGATAGGTATATGTTAAAGTGGTATTATTTTACATATAATAAATATAATTTCTTATAATCTTATATTCAGATTGGGTCTCTCCATTTACTGTTAAGTTTGATACTTAACATAGATCTCATGTCTTAGTTGAATTTAAATATGGTTTTTGAGATCTAATTCTATTACATTGTTTTGATATGTTATTAAATCTTTTAAAATTTGGTGGGTGGAATTCTGTAGTATTCCTTTTAGATGATTCAATTAGAATAGCTCAATTGGCATAGAGCATATAGATTAGGTACAAATTTTGGTGGTTATGAATTGATTATATATATTCTATAGGATTATAAGAACATGTCTTTTACTGATTTTATTGAAAATGGAGCTTTGTGAACTTTGGGCATCTTAACGTAGATACATGTTAAATTTCTTGCAAGTGCTATATGGATCATGCGGAATACTAAGTCCATTTATTGCAGATTTTGTGTAAAATTTCTTGATTTTAAATTCTAAAAGAAAAAAACTGTAGTCAGTTATTAGATCACATGAATGTTCATTTTTGGTTTTGACAACTTTATATCCCCTCTTTACAAAGTTCTGCATTGCCAGCATTATGTTTTATTTTCTTATACCTTTGTGCCTAGAAGCATTTCTTACTTTTAATCGAATAGGGGCTGTTCCTTTTATATAAGATACATGGTGCGCAAGTCCCTCGCTAGTTCCTTTATTATCTTTTATTCTTTGTGGGGCATCACATAATTCATATGTTTTTTAATCTGTCTATTACGCTTGGGCCAATCATATCTTTTGACCACCATACAAAACAGTAACGCACCAGTCCATAAAGCATGTTTCCATCTGCTAGCAAAAATTTTGTTATTCATATGCTGATGGTTATGATGGCTATTGTAGGATTTCCATCCTTAAGACATTCATCGAATTGTTAGTTGTGGCATGAATAACACTGTTAAGATTTGGCCAATGATAGGTATGAGTATGACACTTATCATTATGGAGCGTTGTTTTGGTTGTTTTCTGTGGAAAAAAACTAATTTATCAGATGTAATGGAATCATTACAGTCAAAACTAGGGATATGTCATTTATCAAAAGTCAATTTCAGGGCCTTGGCTTTGAGGGTACTGGCTTGAGCTGGAATGATTGGATCCGAAATTACATGTTATCTAGCACCAAAAAGAATTGAGTGCCATATGATTGTCAGCAGATTTGATTGAACACTAAACTGTCAGGCAGGTGATCAAATACGAGAATTACCAGTGAGTAAACATCAATTAAGTGTTCACTCCTTTCCTTAATTTTCTTAATCTTTCTACAGAGTTCAGGACTTATGTCGAGAAATCATTCACTTGGACAGATCTTCCATCAAAATTCCCTACAAAATATGTACAATTCTCTGTGAGTAGCTTCTTCTTGTTCTTCTTTTTCTCCCCTGTGAGTAGCTTCTTCTTATCTATGTAAACGATGACTGTTGTTATAGTTATATCTATTATTTTTAGGTGTTCTTAGCTTCAATTCATTCAAACTATGTGGACTATAATCGGTGGCTTGGTGATTTCATTCTGTCTAAGGTAAATGATTTGCTCTATCCACTATTATATCATCTTTCACGGAAAGCTCAAATATAATTTAATATGTATTTCCACATTGCTTTGATGTTTACTCAACCGAGAAAGTTGAACCATTTTGTAAAGCATCTTTGAACAACCTTTTAGGACATCACTTGCTTGAGTAGTATAAAATGCAGGCAGCTTTCTGATGTCTTACATTAAAGCTAGTTAACATTACCTTTGCCCCTTTTTCTGATATTGTGCTTTGGTACTGGAAATTGGGATCTAAGATGAAAAACACTGTTGCATGTCGCTTCGCCAAAAAATCAATTCCATGTTACCTTTTTTCCAAAATCAGGTTACAATTTTTTTTTTGTAGTAAAATCATTGTTAAAAATACAACATTTAGAAACTTTCTTTTTAAGTTAGGAGTCCTATATCTTGAAAAAGTTTCAGTTGAAGTATAGTTGGAAACTTTTCCTTGACCTTGTTATCATACACCTTTTGAGTATGTTGTTTTATTATAAGCCTGAATTATGTATATTACTTTTGGTTATATAAGTTACTGTGTGGTATAATTGCAGAGTCTTGACAATGAAATTGTTCTTTGGGAACCAAAGATGAAGGAGCAATCTCCTAGAGATGTTTGAACTTTCCCATTTCTCTTGCAAAGCCCTCAGTTTCTCTTTATTTTTCCTGTTACAGATATATATCTTTTCTAATACCCTCCATTTTTGTTACAATGATGAACTTTATGATGTTTCTTGTTTAGGGTACAACTGACATCCTTCAAAAATACCCTGTCCCTGAGTGTGATATTTGGTTCATCAAATTTTCTTGCAACTTTCATTACAATGTTGCTGCTATAGGTATGTGGAAGGCCAAATGCCTTTCTCTTTTGGATGTAAACAATATAGCAATAGCAGTATATTTGCTTGTTGAGTTACAGCCATCCTTATTTCGAATGTAAACAATCTTCATAAGCTGAATATTGTTACCGTATGTACTCATTTATAAGTTTTGTTGGTTCATCAAATTTTCTTGCAACTTTCATTACAATGTTGCTGCTATGGTATGTGGAAGGCCAAATGCCTTTCTCTTTTGGATGTAAACAATATAGCAATAGCAGTATATTTGCTTGTTGAGTTACAGCCATCCTTATTTCGAATGTAAACAATCTTCATAAGCTGAATATTGTTACCGTATGTACTCATTTATAAGTTTTGTTGGACTTGGCAGGAAATAGAGAAGGAAAGATTTTTGTATGGGAACTGCAAAGTAGCCCTCCTGTTCTTATTGCCAGGTTTGCTTGATTTGCTCTCACTGTTACTAAAAGGAAATGCCTTGTTTATGTATTTAATGGTCTTCTTATTTTGTCTCTGGTAGGCTATCTCGTGCACAGTCAAAGTCTCCAATCAGACAGATTGCCATGTCCTTTGATGGAAGGTAACTATCACTTGATTTCTAACGGTGTTCTGTCAATGAATCATGATGCTTTTTATACACCAGGCGAACCTTCCAATTGCTTTTGGTTGTTGCAGCACCATTCTCAGTTACTTGGCAATTCCTAGAGAAGCTATGATGATTGTTGAAACTCATTTGTGCTATAACAGTTAAGGGTATTAATTGATGATGCTCAGAACTTTGTTAGATTTTGTAAATAAAAGTTGGTTTATTCCTGGCTAGTTATTTGCTATTGAAGGATCTCATACAGGGAAGCACTGCAAGCAGGTGAACCTTACTGGAATCTAGCTTAGTGCCTAACAATGGCTTCAAATGAGTTGAGTTGAGTGGGAGTTGAGAAATGGTGATAGAGGGAAATGGTACGAGGAAAGGATTCTTGTTGGTTTTGACTGTGTATTGTTGTTGTCTTGCTAATCTATCTAAGTTTTTTGGATAAAAAACTATGAAGTACATTGACTCTCACTAAAAGAATGAATGAGGATTATATAGACTTTTATTGAGAGTCGTAATCCTCACTAAAAAACTCCACTTATATAGTGCTATTTGTTTTTTAATTTTTAGCTATTTTTTATATATTTATAAAAATAATAATCAATTAAAAGTTTATGTTATCTACTTAATTATTTGTGTTACAATAAAATTTTCTTACGTTTATTCTTACCTTACATTGCATTTAAAAATGTCATATCTCTTTCTAACCAATTTTACGTCAATAATATAAATTTTATGTTTTTTTTACTTGTTTATGTTACATATTTGTTTTTTTAATTATTAGCTATTTTTCTTATACATTTGTAAAAGCAATAATAAATTACATTACAATAATATATTTCTTACAATTATTCTTATTTTTTATTACGTTTATAATTGTTATAACTTTTTCTTAGTGTTAGGACACTTCTTACCCATTTTACTCCAAATTACACTAGCTTTACGTTATTTCTCACTTGTTTACATTATTAATTTATTTTTCTAATTTTAACTATTTTTTTATATATTTGCAAGAATAATAATTAATTAAAATTTTATGTTGCTAATATAATTATTTACTTTATAATAATATATTCTTATAGGTTTTTACCTTTTATTATGTTTAAAATTATTATAACTTCTTTTTAATGTATTATGACACTTTTTATCTATTTTACATCAAATAATATTAATTGTACATTTGTTCTCACATGTTTACGTTATCAATTTATTTTTTTAATTTGTAAATATTTTCCTTATATTAAAAATAATAATTAATTAAAATTTTAAATTGCTAATATAATTATATACGTTATAATAATATATTATTATGATTGTTTTTAATTTTTATTACATTTATAACTGTCATAACTTTTTTTTAGTGTATTAAGATAATTCTTAATCAATTTATGTCAAATGATACTAATTTTATGTTTTTTTTTTTTCACTTGTTTATATTATCAATATGTTTTTTAATTTTTAGCTATTTTTCTTATATTTATAAAAAATTAATTAAAATTTTACATTGCAATTTAATTATTTACATTAGAATAATTTCTTTTTATGATTTTTACTACCTTTAATTACGTTTAAAATTATCATAACTTTTTCTTAGTGTATTACGATACTTTTTATTTATTTTATACTAAATTATACTAATTTTATGTTTTTCTCACTTTTTTACATTATTTATTTTCAATTTTTAACTATTTCCTTTATATATTTTAAAAATAATAATTAGTTAAAATTTTAAATTATCAACATAATATTTATGTTACAATAATATCTTATTACAGTTATTCTTATATTACATTACATTTAGAATTGTCATAACTCTTTTTCAGCATATTATAAAACTTCTTATTCATGGTATACCAAATAATACTAATTTTACGTTTTTCTCATTTGTTTATGTTACCAAATTATTTTTTAATTTCTAGTTATTTTTTTAATATATACAAAAAAAATTTTAATTATTTTTTAATTTCTAGTTAAATTTTTATATTGCCATCATAATTATTAATATTATAATAATATATTTTTACAATTATTCTTATTTTTTATTACATTTAAAATTATCATAACTTTTTTTTAATGTATTACAACACTTTTTACCTATTTTACATGAAATTATACTTATTTTATATTTCTCACTTGTTTACGTTATCGATTGTTTTTTAAATTTTAATTAGTTTTTTTTATATATTTACAAGAATAATAATTAATTAAAATTTTACGATATCAACATAATTATTTGCTTTACAATAATATTTTCTTACAATTATTTTTAGTTTTCATTACGTTTAAAACTATTATAACTTTTTTTTTAATATGTTACAATACTTCTTACCTATTTTATATTGTAGACACCGATTTTGTCCGGGTCTACTATTAATAATAATAATAATAAATATACATATTTTTTAAAAAATTATTAATTATATAAAAAAAACAAAAAAAACAAACAAAAAACGACAAAAAGCAGGGCGGCTGATGCCTGACACCAGCTACCCTGCAGCCACCACTAGCTGCTCACACTCACCAACCTACAGCCACCCTACAGCCGCCACCTGTTCCCCTTTTGTACTCCTTAAAAACCCCCAACTTTTTCCCTTTGGCTCTCTTGGAGCCCCTCTTAAAAAAACCTTTGGACCCCCCTTTCTGAAAACTCTTAAACCAAGAAAATACCCTCTTGAAAAACCTTCAAATAGATCCTCGAAACCTCTTCCTTCAACAACCCCAAACAGAACCCACACCAACCACAAAAACAAAATAAACAGAAAAACAGAAACAAAAAAAGGGACAAACACAGTTTTCCCCGCAAGGAGGAACCCAGCCAAAGCTACCTGCAAAAGCAAAAAATCACGTCAGTGTTGTTTCAACAAAACAAACAAAAAGAAAGAAAAGAAAAATGGGGAAACAAAAACTGACCCATGATCTACGCTGAACGGGGCTATTTTCGACAAAAAAAGGTCAGATCTAGGAAGAGCACATTGAAGAGTGCTTCTGGGAGTATTTTGGTATTTTTCGATTACCGACGATCACCGATAGCAACCGTCGACGTTGACCTAGACGACGGTCCGACGACTGGACGACGAGAGAGCTTTGGAGCTCTCCCCAGAGCTCTCCCTTTTTTTTTTTCTGAAACGGATAAAGAATGAACAAAAAAATATTTTCAGTTATAAATAAAAGACTAATGAGCAAAACGATGTCGTTTTAGGTTAAAGAGGGTCCGCGCGTTGACCCGGATCAGACTCGAGATTCGCGTAACTTAACCCGTGGACTCGTTCTTCCAATAGCTATTGATCGGTCCAACTGGACCAATTTGAATAGGATCGAACCGTAGACCACTAGCCCGAACTGTTGACTGAATCGCAGAATCGGTCAGACCGATTCAAACCAACGTTGACCGGACCATTGATCGATCCGGTTCAGGTAAAAAAAATTTTTTTTAATTTTTTTATGTTATTATTTTTGTTATTTTTAGTTTTTTTTTTTTTTATTCTTACATGATAAATTTCTAAATTTGTTAGAATAAATGTTTAATTGTTTTAATAATAATAAAATTAAAAACAAGTAATAATTAAAAATATATATTAAAAATGCTCAAAAAAATAACTATTATTATTATTATTTTTCCTGCCTAGATGTTAGAGGGAATAAAAAATATTTTTCAAAAAAAATAATTTCGCCTAGATGTTGAAAAATTATTATTAATAAATTTTCATAAAAAATAAATATAAGAAATTTTTAATTAATTTTCAAAAATCATTAAAATCGAACTTGCTTCGAAAATCTGCTTAGATGTTGGAGATTTTTAGAGAGGTTCGTATTTTCTTAAAAACGAAACCTTAAACACTAATTTTTAATTTTCAAAATCCTAGGTTTCTAAAATCCCTAAAATCCAAAATCCCTTAAAATCCAAAATCTTAAAATCTAAAATTTAAAACCGAAACCCTAAAATCTTCAAACTCTAAAATCAAAACCCTAAATCTTCCATACCTTAAAACCAAACCCTAAAACCCTCTAAACTTAAATCCAAACCCTTAAAATCCGAATCTTCAAAATCTTGAAACCTTAATCTTTAAAACCTCTACTCAAGCCCTTACTCAAAATACCATAAAAATCTTAAGGACAGATGTGAAAATTCTATTTGAAGCAATTTATTCTCAAATACTGCCTAGATGATGGGGTATTTAGGAAATTTTACTTCGTTAAGTCTTTTCACACGATTTCGTAATTCGTATTAATAATAAGATTAATAAATAACAGTAAATTGAGATCTTAAATATAAACAGTCGCACCTAAGCTCTACCTAGATATTAGAGAGTCGGGGTGGCCTCATTATACTTAAGAATCCAACTTTTAAATTGCATATCATCTTACATAACATTCATTGGCATACATTCGTTAGCATGTTATTATCAGTATTTATTTGTACTATTTTGTCTTTAATTTTTATTTATTACTTGGTGATAAAAATATTTTATAATAAAAAAAGAATAATACTTTTAAAAAAAATTATTATATTACAAAATAAAATAAAAATTGTAGACACCCAATTTGGTCCAAGCCTGGATCAATTGGGTCTGGTTTAAATGGGTAAGCCCAATTTTGTTTTATCTTTTTGTTATTTTTATTTTATTTTTATTTTATATTTTATGTATATATTTTCTTTTATATCCTGTGTATTTATTATTTATTTATTATTACTATTTATTAATATATATTTTTCTTTTTCTTTTTTTTCTTTTTCATTTTATTTTATATGTATATTTATTTATCTAATTATATATTTATTTATCTGTTATTATTATTTTTTTATTTATCTTATAATATTATTGTTAATTTATCTTATTATTATTTTTCTAATTATCTATTAAATTTTTTTATCTGATTTTTATTTTGGAATGCTGGGATTGAATTCTGTTGAAGAATCCTACTGAGAAAGGGGATTCAATCAGAGTCTAGATTGGATTCAAAGATTGAATTTCCATTGAAAAAAGAATAGGGATTGATCATAAATTCTTCTGATCAATCCTTATAAATAGATACAGAATACAGAAGCAAAGAACAGAAAAAAAAACAGTGAGCAAAAGCTACTGATTGAGAGAAAAAGGGCGGATAGAAAATTATAGAAGGCTAAGAAAAGGTTTAGAAGTGTTCTAGGAATTAGCAAAAATTTTTTGGAGATTTTTGGAGTTTTTTTTCTGAGAATTTTTGGAAAATTCTATATTCCGGTTGAATTTTTCGGCAAAAATTTCGGCCAAGTTTGAAGTTTTCGACGAGCTGCCCAGTTTTCGACGAAATATCCCAGAAATCGACCAATTTTTTGGTGAACTTCCGGTAACAAACCCAGATTTCGACGAAAAATTCTAGAATTCGATGAACATTCAACTGGAGTTTTTCGACCGTTTAGAGAAAAGCGAGAGGAAAAAGGAAGAAGAGAGAGAGATGGGAAAAGCTTTCTGTCAAAAAATGAAGGAAATAGC